CGAGCCTAAACAGTATTGTGTTCATGTATGTGACGTCACTGAAGGCCTAAGGTTGAAATGCACGGCCCGCCACTGGATCAATGCGATTTCACCGTGGCTGTATGTGTGTTTCTGGTGTGACGTGAGTGTTTTTCTTCGATTTTACTTTCGTTTTGTTAAGTGTGGGGGGCAGGAAACTTGATGTGCTCATGCGGGTTGCTATTGTAGCCGCGAGCTGAGAAAGGGCGCGGGTGTCTCAGTACACCGATGACGGATTGAGATGGCAGCGGAAAAAAAACACTGAAAGGTGTTTTACTTATGGCGTTTAAGAAATGGGAATGCCATTCGGAGTTTTCATACGAATCATCCGAAGAAAGGCGTCTCACTAAGCTCACGTGTGATTTATGCACAAAACACGGAAGAGAGATTCGACGGGAGGCACGATTCAGAGGCAAGTTTTGAAGTTGGTCATTAGATCTAAAGGCTAATCGCTATGAAAAAATATTATGAAACAGTCTTAGTTATTTTATAATTTACTAGTTGTAGACATGGTAACTTTATGAATAAAACATTCTTCACAAGGTGTAGTAATAACTGTCATATGGCCTAATGACGACATATGGTAGATTCTTTGGTCAAATTGATCATAGATTACACAGTGCGTCATTTTTGGGTTGCAAAGAGGATGTCAAGCCATGTCAATACGATATGACAACGTATAGTAATAAGGTCTTTTTTTTTTTAAAGATTCATCACAATTTTAATCATTCAATTCCTATTACATGGTTTTGTATTAATAAAGGGGGTGAGTAGCCATTGATATGTTTATTTACATAAATAGTACACACGTATAATCATGTTAACAGTATCAGGTTTTCTTGTGGCCCATGATATATAGCCAGGACTGAAGTATTGTGTACACATGTGTTTCTGATGGCCATAGTATTTCACAGTAATTGATATATTAATGATTAGCAGTAAATTATTCTTTGCAGTGTGAGATTGGAAAAAATACTCTAATTTTGTGGTATGCTGTATTCATGCCATATGAGTACATTAAAAGTGTTAACATATTTTGATCATTTATTTTATTGAATAATCCTGGAGTACACAGCTGCTGATGTAATTATGTTCATTGTTAGTGCATAGTTTTCAAACATTTACCCTTTAGATACCGTATTGGCCCGAATATAAGACGGCCCTGATTATAAGATGACCCCCTCTTTTTCAAGACTCAAGTTTGAAAAAAGACGTTTTGAACACCAAATTAATTTTTATACAGAAAATAATTACAGTACATCTGAAACAAGTGATTATAACAATATATTTGAGAGAAAAAGCATGTCATTTTGCCTCATTCAAATCTAAAGTGCAATCACATTCGTAAATGAATGGCTTCTGGTTTTTGAAATGTAAATTACATCATAACTTCTCAGCTGCCAGTTAACCTGGCCGATCTTCGACCCATTTTTCTCCAGATTGTCGCTACATTTCTCCATTTTCTGTTATCTCTTCTATTATTTTCTTCTCTTTTCTTTCTTACTGCTATCTTTTATTTTTCTTCTTCGTGCTACCACTATTTTTATTTTTATTCTTCGTGACAGGGGTTCGCTTTGGCCTGGGGAGTCAAGTTCAGCATTCGCTTCAATGGTATCTGACGCCATCTAGCGTCGTGAATGGGTATAATGTCAAGACCCCGAATATAAGACGACCTCCACTTTTTCAATCGTATTTCAATGAAAAAAAAACGCCGTCTTATATTCATGCCAATACGGTATTATACATTTGAATATCAGAATTTTTGATTGTTAATATCAGTCAACATAGAAAAATGGGTTCCCATGGTGAACGTTTACGGAACCCAAAATTAGTTACCGTGGTTTTGCATTAGGTGATCCAACGGAACCGAAAAACGGTTTCTGTGAATTTCTGAAATCCTCTGGCTTGGTGATTTAAATATTCACCTTTTTTCTTTACTTCATTCGACATCTAGCTACATTAAAACAAGAAAAAAAAAAGTTTGGAATCAAAATTGGATTCTCTCCTCCTGTGTAAAGATTTTAGTCCCAAATAAGTGTTGCAACCATCACCATTGTAAATGTTGGTCAAGAGCTTAATGAGATTTGTTCAGCATTGACAGGCCTTTTATTTGGCTTACCGTATTACCTGCCACGGTCAATCTGCCACAATTACTTTTCCCATGCATATGAGAGCAGTGACAGACGGAACGTTTTACAAGGTGAGAAAATACAAAGTAGTTTATACATCTTATAAATCTCTTGATGGGTTGCACTTTTTACTATTCATTTAGTCCTCCCGGTATCACACACACCCATCTGTCTTTGGCTGTGTAAGGAGTTGTTTGTCATGAGCACCTGAGCTCCTTCTGTCGCTCTGCTTTATTTTGCTCTCACCTGCCAATTGTATATCTGAAAAATATGAAATCCACAAAATATCCTACAGTCATACTCCCAAAAAATAGAATGGATGTATTCTCAGTGTAATGAGTATGACGAGAACATGTCAGTGTTAAGGCAATGCATGCTGTGCAGTAAGAATCAGTGGTGAGGTGTAACAAAGCACTAATACTTAAGTACCTAAGTAGATTTTTCAGGTATCTGTACTATACTTGAGTATTGTATGTACTTTGTACATTTCTGACGACTTTATACTTTACAGATAAATGTACTTTATACTTCTTTCCTTTTCAAAATAGACACTTTTTGTCCACCTCCGTGTGTGATCGTACAAATGAAGAGAAGTGAACAATGGTTGAGATCTTCATAATTTCATTGACTGATATGGATCTTGAGGACTTATATGGTGGAAAAATAAAAAACATGGACAGAAAGAATCCATGGCCTGATTGAAGATATTTTTTGACAGTTAGCTACAAGAATCATTTGTGGTGAATGCATTTTCACGTACCAGCCAAAAAACTAGGCATGTCGAGTAATCACAAATTCTCACTTTACCGGAAAAAAAACACATACAGTACATTTAAGGTGAACATTTTGTTTTTCATTTTTTGTCATTATCATCATTTTTGTTCCAATATTTTGTTTTGCTAATGTTGGAACTGTTGTCAGTCCAGTCTTGATTGGCTTCTCTGAATTTAGCACACAGTAAAGATGTGTCCAGTGATGTTTATCTTTTTAGTTCAAATGCTGTGCAGCTTAACACAACGAGGACTATTTTGTGTGCAGATTTTTTTTTCTCCCGTTGTTATCAAAAACATATTATACATATAGTGTTTGCCATAGTTTGCCTGAAAAAGTAACTTAATTATTGTAGTGATTTGAAAATAACTTAATGGATTACTTTGTTTTAACAGGTACTTTATTACTTCAATTCAGCATCTGTAGAAACCACTGCCTCTCGGTGAAAAATGACAACCAATTCAACAGTATTTATAGCCTTCACCCTTTTTTCTATTGTACCGGGTCTACTCCGAAAGAGCCTGCTTCTGTCCTGTGTAGTCACTTTTCTATTCCACATTGTAAAGGGTGGGCGATGACAATGGAACCGTTCCTCTGAACCTCTTCTAACCTGGCTCTAGAACGCAGGTCGAGGAGGGCTGTAATGTCGCTGTCATCTGATTGGCTGATAGATGTAGGCTTTTCCAACTCTGTTGCACACTCCCACAATCACCTACCGCCATTAAAATACAGAATATTTTCAGTCAAGCTTATTGTGTTTAACAGAAATACTTGCCCATATTTACAAAATGATATGTACCTTTCAATGAAATAGGAAGCTTGTGGTACATGTACAAGAGAACCACTTATCCTCACGAGAGTCACGGGCATGCTGGAGCCTATCCCATTTGTTTTTGGGCAGTAGGCTGGGGTACACCTTGAACGTCTTGAGTATTTTTTTAATTAATAAAAGTAAATCAAATTTGAAGTTGTTTAGCTGTCAGCTAGTATTTCATTGCTTTTCACTGATATCAGTTTTGCGGTGCGGTGATTTTAGTCCAGGCATCGAGGTATTTTGCGGAGGTATGATATCGGAGTCAAAATTTGGATATCGTGACATCACTAGTCTAAACCATTACTAATTTGTATTTGGAATATGTTAAATTAAATTACAATAAATAAAAATGTCAACATGAAGCATTGACGTTGTTCATGCAAATAGCTGGTCATGAATTATTCCAGTCAGATCTGAGTGTTGGTGGCACTCACAATTTTCTTTACGTGCATGACCATATCTGCAGTACAACAAAATCGTTAAAAAAACATTTAACACATCCAAGAATAAAAATATAATAATAATGACAAACATATAGCCTACCACCAGCAGGATCAATGTTATCACGGCTTGAGAGTTTCTCCATCACTGTTACAGGGAGCTTCGAGGCAGGAGTGACAGAATGGCTGGCTGAGCCAAGCAGCGTTGAGCGGGGGGGATTTTTGACAACCGCTGACTCTTTTATCATTGTGATGGCAAATACTAACTTTCCATCTCCATTGTTCTGGGTTGAGCCGTACATATTGCCCATTAGAAGGTTCTCCCCTAACAAGGGGAGGGTGAGACAGCACATGAATGTGAACAGGTTGCCAATCCATAGCCGATCCCCGCGTTAATCTAAATTAATTTCTCAGAGTTTAACTTGAAAATGACCTGGGAAAAGTCTTAGTCAGTCCTTTACAATAAGCCTAATCAAAAAGAAAGGTTATGGAATAGTTTGATGTCTCCCCTAGTGAAATACTAGTACTTTATGTTCTGTACTTTCGTAAAAAAAAAAAACAAAAAAAAACTCAATGTGTCAGTGTTCATCAATCGGTGCTTTTACCAACATGCCACTTATCAATACAGGATGTGTTACAAAGCATCTTGAAAATAACGAGAGAATTCCTATCACAGCTGTAAGAATACTGACAAGCATCTTAATAGTAAAGGAAAATGTTTGTACTGTGTGTTGTCCTTGAAGTGTTTTTTTTTTTTGTTTGTTTTTTTTTTTTTTGTGGTTGGTTTATTTATGTTGGTGAATCTAATGTGTTCCCACTTTCCTTTAGGTAGAAGATGCCATGATAATGTTTGACAAAACAACTAGCCGACATAGAGGTATGTTTAGCAACTCTGCTGCTATGCCAATGCTCACCATACTGTGTGTTGTTTATACTCGCCACAATTGTTGAGCTTTGTCAGTGTATTGTGTCCATTACAAGACAGTCCTCACATGATGTTCCAAAAAGACATACTCACATTCTTGAACAATTTACACTTCAAAAACCTCTCGAGGTACGCTAATAAGTACCTTCCTTCAAACATGCCTACGTCTATGAAGGTCGGGTTCATTGTTGTTCATGACAGATGGCTTTCACTCTGCCACACAATCCATACTAAATCCGTCCCCTTACCAGAGATTCCATACTGCTGTCTGATACACCCACAAACAGACATAACTGCATGTGCAAACTGCAGCCGGAGAATCAAGCCCAACAACTAAACACAGCACATAGACTACATATTTATTTCATATCAATTTAATTAGCCTCATTCCCCTTGGGCTATTTTACCCCTTTGATACGTCAATAGCGATCTACACTGGCATTCATTTGTTTGGATGATGAAGGACAGAGGCATGGAGAGGGAGAAAAGGGTCAAATAAGGGAAGGAGTGCGAAAGAGAAGGCAAAAAAAAAAAAAAGAAAAGATGCACTAAGTTGAAAAAGAGCTAGATTGAAGGAAGGAGGCCTGTGTGGTCTGATAAGGGCTCAGATAGCTGATTCTGCCGAGACACTTAGGTGGCAGGATTGTTATCTCCACCACCTCTTCCCTGTCCAAACACCTTATCTTGGCTTTGGCAAAGCAGCCCTCTGCCCCCAAACAGAGGACTTAACAAAGACACAGGGGGACTAAGGACAAGACAGACTTGTGAGTCGTTTTTCTAAAGTGATGGATGGTGAATCACAAGTGACACATTCAAACATTTTTTAAAAATCCTTACTTTCAAAATCTCATTTAATTTCTCAGATATTGGTAATGTTGCTTATGAAACACTGACAAGTAACCAATAAACGCAGAGACGTGATTAACCCGAGGAGTATTTTTGTAGTTAAATGAGGACTTGCATCGTTAAAAAAACGTTGATAGAGAAGCATCTCCATAGCTTAAACCAGGGGTCGGGAACCGATGGCTCGCGAGCCAAATGTGGCTCTTTTGATGATTGCATCTGGCTCACAGATGAAAAAAAAAATATTCTCGTTTGTTTGAGTAAAAGTATCTCTATCCCAGTCATCTTACTCACTTCAACTCTAATGAGGATAAGCGGAACAGAAAATGAATGGACGGATGTAGTGAGTGAAGTAGCTTCCATTTTTTTTTTCCATTGCCTCATTTTCATTTTCGCTCCAGAGCGGCAATTCAGCATCGTTTGAGATGACGTTTATTTTTTGTACAGGTTTGAAAGAACAGCTTCTCATTTTTTTTTTTTTACAATGCAGTATGACGCGTAAGCAGGACGTGTGTGAGGAAGATGAACGTTGCGGCACATTTCATATCTCCGGAGAAGTGTTGAGGATGCGGCGGAGTGTGATCGCTTTTCGGGGCTTGTGTTGTTGCTGTGCGCCTTGAAGCAAGCACACGGGAGGTGGCAAGTGGGCGTGAGGATGCGAGCACATTTTTCACTTGAGTGTTGTGTAAGTTCTTACTGCTTGTCGGGCTACTGGGCAATTGACTCATAGCGACACTTCACACAGAGGAAATCCAATCACTTCAATGTGACCGTGTCTCATTAACAAGGACACTCCACTTCCTCTTGTCCCCCCCCCAGCCCGCCTTCATGCCCCTCCTCACACACTTCATCAGTGGTCGTTGAATCATTTTTTTTTTTTTGTTTGTTTTTTTTTTTTTTGTGGTTGGTTTATTTATGTTGGTGAATCTAATGTGTTCCCACTTTCCTTTAGGTAGAAGATGCCATGATAATGTTTGACAAAACAACTAGCCGACATAGAGGTATGTTTAGCAACTCTGCTGCTATGCCAATGCTCACCATACTGTGTGTTGTTTATACTCGCCACAATTGTTGAGCTTTGTCAGTGTATTGTGTCCATTACAAGACAGTCCTCACATGATGTTCCAAAAAGACATACTCACATTCTTGAACAATTTACACTTCAAAAACCTCTCGAGGTACGCTAATAAGTACCTTCCTTCAAACATGCCTACGTCTATGAAGGTCGGGTTCATTGTTGTTCATGACAGATGGCTTTCACTCTGCCACACAATCCATACTAAATCCGTCCCCTTACCAGAGATTCCATACTGCTGTCTGATACACCCACAAACAGACATAACTGCATGTGCAAACTGCAGCCGGAGAATCAAGCCCAACAACTAAACACAGCACATAGACTACATATTTATTTCATATCAATTTAATTAGCCTCATTCCCCTTGGGCTATTTTACCCCTTTGATACGTCAATAGCGATCTACACTGGCATTCATTTGTTTGGATGATGAAGGACAGAGGCATGGACAAAAGCAAACGTCCTTGGACCAGTTCTTTACAAATCGCCAGGCAAAAACTACTTCTGAGAGACTACATGAATGAAAGAAAGAGGGAAAAAAAAAAAAAAGAAAAGATGCACTAAGTTGAAAAAGAGCTAGATTGAAGGAAGGAGGCCTGTGTGGTCTGATAAGGGCTCAGATAGCTGATTCTGCCGAGACACTTAGGTGGCAGGATTGTTATCTCCACCACCTCTTCCCTGTCCAAACACCTTATCTTGGCTTTGGCAAAGCAGCCCTCTGCCCCCAAACAGAGGACTTAACAAAGACACAGGGGGACTAAGGACAAGACAGACTTGTGAGTCGTTTTTCTAAAGTGATGGATGGTGAATCACAAGTGACACATTCAAACATTTTTTAAAAATCCTTACTTTCAAAATCTCATTTAATTTCTCAGATATTGGTAATGTTGCTTATGAAACACTGACAAGTAACCAATAAACGCAGAGACGTGATTAACCCGAGGAGTATTTTTGTAGTTAAATGAGGACTTGCATCGTTAAAAAAACGTTGATAGAGAAGCATCTCCATAGCTTAAACCAGGGGTCGGGAACCGATGGCTCGCGAGCCAAATGTGGCTCTTTTGATGATTGCATCTGGCTCACAGATGAAAAAAAAAATATTCTCGTTTGTTTAATCCATCCATCGATCCTCTACATATGGAATAGAGTTATCCATTAAATATAGATCATTAATTATTTCATATGAAACAACTTGTAGTTGTCTCGATTTGACAAGTGTTGAGGTAAATGTCAAGTGTTTCATGAAGATTAATCTCATTCCAGAACAGGACAGGGTTTCCACGGGTCATTGAAAAATAGAAGAAAAAAAAGCCTTCATTGGCATTAACAGGCATCATTTATGAGGTTCAGAGGCATATTGCACCGTGTGCAAAAAAAAAAAAAAACACCTTCAAACTTTGCACGTCAGGGTCCAGGAGGTGCCGAACAGAAGTGGACTCTAAAAATGCAGACTCAGGCCAAATGTACACAACCAATATTTATTTACAGCAAAAGTCATGTGATGCCGATGAAAGACAAATAAAGATGCTGGTAAACGGACTAGGATAAAATGAGAGAAACAAAAGGCACTTTCAAAAGGCAAGGAAAATACAAACGAAAATGCCAAGAATAATTTACCAAAATGACTACGAATCGCTTTTCGGGGCTTGTGTTGTTGCTGTGCGCCTTGAAGCAAGCACACGGGAGGTGGCAAGTGGGCGTGAGGATGCGAGCACATTTTTCACTTGAGTGTTGTGTAAGTTCTTACTGCTTGTCGGGCTACTGGGCAATTGACTCATAGCGACACTTCACACAGAGGAAATCCAATCACTTCAATGTGACCGTGTCTCATTAACAAGGACACTCCACTTCCTCTTGTCCCCCCCCCAGCCCGCCTTCATGCCCCTCCTCACACACTTCATCAGTGGTCGTTGAATCATTTTTTTTTTTTTGTTTGTTTTTTTTTTTTTTGTGGTTGGTTTATTTATGTTGGTGAATCTAATGTGTTCCCACTTTCCTTTAGGTAGAAGATGCCATGATAATGTTTGACAAAACAACTAGCCGACATAGAGGTATGTTTAGCAACTCTGCTGCTATGCCAATGCTCACCATACTGTGTGTTGTTTATACTCGCCACAATTGTTGAGCTTTGTCAGTGTATTGTGTCCATTACAAGACAGTCCTCACATGATGTTCCAAAAAGACATACTCACATTCTTGAACAATTTACACTTCAAAAACCTCTCGAGGTACGCTAATAAGTACCTTCCTTCAAACATGCCTACGTCTATGAAGGTCGGGTTCATTGTTGTTCATGACAGATGGCTTTCACTCTGCCACACAATCCATACTAAATCCGTCCCCTTACCAGAGATTCCATACTGCTGTCTGATACACCCACAAACAGACATAACTGCATGTGCAAACTGCAGCCGGAGAATCAAGCCCAACAACTAAACACAGCACATAGACTACATATTTATTTCATATCAATTTAATTAGCCTCATTCCCCTTGGGCTATTTTACCCCTTTGATACGTCAATAGCGATCTACACTGGCATTCATTTGTTTGGATGATGAAGGACAGAGGCATGGAGAGGGAGAAAAGGGTCAAATAAGGGAAGGAGTGCGAAAGAGAAGGCAAAAAAAAAAAAAAGAAAAGATGCACTAAGTTGAAAAAGAGCTAGATTGAAGGAAGGAGGCCTGTGTGGTCTGATAAGGGCTCAGATATTTATTCTTTATTCTTTGTTTTTTATATTATGCACACCTCTCATTTAAAGTGCAACAATTTAATTGTAACATGCATTTGTTACATATTTTGATGCATTTTTAGGCTTTAGAAAACATTTATGTCTGAATTTTGGGGGGTGAGGGGACGTTTTTCTAAAGTGATGGATGGTGAATCACAAGTGACACATTCAAACATTTTTTAAAAATCCTTACTTTCAAAATCTCATTTAATTTCTCAGATATTGGTAATGTTGCTTATGAAACACTGACAAGTAACCAATAAACGCAGAGACGTGATTAACCCGAGGAGTATTTTTGTAGTTAAATGAGGACTTGCATCGTTAAAAAAACGTTGATAGAGAAGCATCTCCATAGCTTAAACCAGGGGTCGGGAACCGATGGCTCGCGA